TTGATGATCCCAGCTTACAGCTCATGGAGATCAAAAATCCATCTCTCAACATATTAGAATAAAGAAAGTCTATGAAACAAATCTATCTACAGAAATGTTTCACTTTTTGACTTAATTTAAAGGAGGAAAATGAACCTTTTCATAAAACCCACCTGTATTTATCTATAAATATCTATTTATAGATATAAATGTACTTGTTGTTCCCGCCGCGGCCTGAAGGCGGAGTTTGTGATGACCGGCAGGAGGCAGCTGCGCGTCACGTGAGTCAGAACCACAGAAGAAGACGGAGGAGCAGAAGCAGGAAGCGTGAGCAGCAGCAGATTAGCCTGATTAGCCTGCGGGCTAACTCTGTGATATGAGCTTTGTAAGCTGAACAGTAAGTTTAACTTTGTCTTGTTTGTCTGCTCAGACTCTGACGCCACGTCCACGTGCCTTAATGACCTCATCAGTGAGGCTGACAGCAGTTAGCATGTAGCTTAGCAGACTTCCTGTCCCGGCTGTGAGTTGGAAGCAGTTAGCAGTTAGCAGTTAGCTCGGAGTTTTAGCAGGACGGTACCGTGAGTTCGGTGGACGGAAGCGGGCTGTTACTGAGCCGAGCTGCGGGTGAACCTCCGCACGCACCGCCGGTCAGCTGACCGTGCGCGCGGCCAGGTGAGCAGCAGCTGCACCTGTACTGCAGGTCCGGACCGTAAAGTTAACAGAAACAGCGCGAGAGCCACGTTTCAGATGAGAGATATGAAGTGGATCAAGTCAGAACCGGTTTGTAGTTAAACACAAAGAAACCAGACTATCGGTCAGTCAGAGAGCAAAGAGCCGGACCCGAGCTTCAGAGGGAGAGTTCTGATCTGAACAGGGACCAGCTGACTAAGGTGGGGTCCGAGGACCCTCAGGGGCCCGTGAGGGGGCTCCACCGGGTCTTCAGCAAAAAGGGAATCATTAATTTAATAATTCAATAATTCCTCCTGTAAGTAACAAAATGTAGGAGGTCACGAGTTTCACACCTGTTCTGTCAACATCTAACATCTGAGCAGACGGGTCAGTGAGGGTGGAGCTGATTGTGGGTTGAAATGATCTTCTGTGACGTGTTTGATGCTAAGCTCCGCCCCCTGTGTGCAGGTGTGTGACCCGTGTTGACCTCAGTGGGCGTTGCCGTGGGCGATGGCGCTGATCGAAGGCGTCGGAGACGAGGTGACGGTGCTGTTCTGTTTGCTGTTGCTCCTCCTGGTGATGCTGCTCGCCTGGATCTCCACCCGCACCACCGAGCCCCCGGAACACCTGTTTGCCTCCACCACAGGCCCCGCCTCATCATTGAGGAGCAGCCCCGCCCACCATGACACGCCTCTCTCTGCCGCCAACTCTTCGTCTTCCTCTTCCCCCCCCTCCAGCTCTTTAAGTGACAGCTCTCTGACAGAAGCCCCGCCCACCAACACCTCCACCCAGGAGAAGGAGGGGGAGGGGAGAGAAAGGGGAGAGGCTGGAGGAGGAGACGGTGTGAGGAGCAGAGAAGGAGGAGGAGGAGGAGAGTCTTCGTCCTCTCAGAGGAACATGGTGCTCAGAATCAAGTTTCTCAACGACACAGAGAAAAGGGCTCAGGTCAAACCGCAGGACACCATCGGCTACATCAAACGGTAACAAAGCCGTCGCTGCAGCTAGCTGTGCTGCGTCACTGCTGCGTCACTAGTCGTACTCTGGCGTCGTACTCTGGCGTCGTACTCTGGCGTCCCCCTGCGTCACTAGTCGTACTCTGGCGTCGTACTCTGGCGTCGTACTCTGGCGTCCCCCTGCATCACTAGTCGTACTCTGGCGTCGTACTCTGGCGTCACTCGTCGTACTCTGGCGTCCCCCTGCGTCACTCGTCGTACTCTGGCGTCCCCCTGCGTCACTCGTCGTACTCTGGCGTCCCCCTGCGTCACTCGTCGTACTCTGGCGTCCCCCTGCGTCACTCGTCGTACTCTGGCGTCCCCCTGCGTCACTAGTCGTACTCTGGCGTCCCCCTGCGTCACTCGTCGTACTCTGGCGTCCCCCTGCGTCACTCGTCGTACTCTGGCGTCCCCCTGCGTCACTCGTCGTACTCTGGCGTCCCCCTGCGTCACTCGTCGTACTCTGGCGTCCCCCTGCGTCACTAGTCGTACTCTGGCGTTGTACTCTGGCGTCCCCCTGCGTCACTAGTCGTACTCTGGCGTCGTACTCTGGCGTCGTACTCTGGCGTCCCCCTGCATCACTAGTCGTACTCTGGCGTCGTACTCTGGCGTCACTCGTCGTACTCTGGCGTCCCCCTGCGTCACTAGTCGTACTCTGGCGTTGTACTCTGGCGTCCCCCTGCGTCACTAGTCGTACTCTGGCGTCGTACTCTGGCGTCCCCCTGCGTCACTCGTCGTACTCTGGCGTCCCCCTGCGTCACTCGTCGTACTCTGGCGTCCCCCTGCGTCACTCGTTGTACTCTGGCGTCCCCCTGCGTCACTAGTCGTACTCTGGCGTCCCCCTGCGTCACTAGTTGTACTCTGGCGTCGTACTTTGGCGTCCCCCTGCGTCACTAGTTGTACTCTGGCGTCGTACTCTGGCGTCCCCCTGCGTCACTAGTTGTACTCTGGCGTCCCCCTGCGTCACTAGTAGTACTCTGGCGTCGTACTTTGGCGTCTCCCTGCGTCACTAGTCGTACTCTGGCGTCGTACTCTGGCGTCCCCCTGCGTCACTAGTCGTACTCTGGCGTCGTACTCTGGTGTCACTCGTCATACTCTGGCGTCCCCCTGCGTCACTCGTTGTATTCTGGCGTCGTACTCTGGCGTCCCCCTGCGTCACTAGTTGTACTCTGGTGTCCCCCTGCGTCACTAGTAGTACTCTGGCGTCGTACTCTGGTGTCACTCGTCATACTCTGGCGTCCCCCTGCGTCACTCGTTGTATTCTGGCGTCGTACTCTGGCGTCCCCCTGCGTCACTAGTTGTACTCTGGTGTCCCCCTGCGTCACTAGTCGTACTCTGGCGTCGTACTCTGGCGTCCCCCTGCGTCACTAGTCGTACTCTGGCGTCGTACTCTGGTGTCACTCGTCATACTCTGGCGTCCCCCTGCGTCACTCGTTGTATTCTGGCGTCGTACTCTGGCGTCCCCCTGCGTCACTAGTTGTACTCTGGTGTCCCCCTGCGTCACTAGTAGTACTCTGGCGTCGTACTCTGGCGTCCCCCTGCGTCACTAGTAGTACTCTGGCGTCGTACTCTGGCGTCCCCCTGCGTCACTAGTCGTACTCTGGCGTCGTACTCTGGCGTCACTCGTCATACTCTGGCGTCCCCCTGCGTCACTAGTCGTACTCTGGCGTCGTACTCTGGTGTCACTCGTCATACTCTGGCGTCCCCCTGCGTCACTCGTTGTATTCTGGCGTCGTACTCTGGCGTCCCCCTGCGTTACTAGTAGTACTCTGGCGTCGTACACTGGCGTCCCCCTGCGTCACTAGTAGTACTCTGGCGTCCCCCTGCGTCACTCGTCGTACTCTGGCGTCGTGCTCTGGCGTCCCCCTGCGTCACTCGTCGTACTCTGGCGTCGTGCTCTGGCGTCCCCCTGCGTCACTCGTCGTACTCTGGCGTCGTGCTCTGGCGTCCCCCTGCGTCACTCGTCGTACTCTGGCGTCGTACTCTGGCGTCACTCGTCGTACTCTGGCGTCCCCCTGCGTCACTCGTCGTACTCTGGCGTCCCCCTGCGTCACTCGTCGTACTCTGGCGTCCCCCTGCGTCACTCGTCGTACTCTGGCGTCGTACTCTGGCGTCGTACTCTGGCGTCGTACTCTGCCGTCGTACTCTGGCGTCGTCCCCCGGCGTCACTAGTAGTACTCTGGCGCCGTACTCTGGCGTCCCCCTGCGTCACTAGTAGTACTCTGTCGTCCCCCTGCGTCACTAGTAGTACTCTGTCGTACTCTGGCGTCCCCCTAACACCTGTCAACAGTAAAGGCACGTTCAGCTGCAGGTGTCTAAAAGAAAGATGAAACAGCAAAAACATCTCAGAACCGTTTTATTCTGTGTATGTGAGGAACGAACCACATTTAGACTGGAAGTAAAGCTTCATTTATACTTCTGCGCTGAATCTGTTGTGCACCTCCCCAACATGTAACTACACATCTGCTGTAACTGCAGTATAAATGCATGAGTACGGCGTAGAACCGACGCAGAAGTATAAAACATCAGCTGCCGTCATGTGACCACGTTGTTTCACAGCCGATGGCAGCGCAGCATCCTCCACGTTACAGAAACGCAGGCCTCTTTGTTCCCGACAGTAGCACAGTGCTTGGGTTCTTTCGCCACATAGAACCAGAACCTGCTGAGATCTCGCCATTCTGCAGATGACAGAACGCTCTCGCTCCTCGTCTCCGTGATTTCCTGCTCTGAGACTCTTGTGGATGATGAGCAGTGTTGCGGCTGGTTTTGACCTCTGACCTCTTCCCTTTCAGGACCTACTTTGCGGGCCAGGAGCAGCAGGTCCGGTTGATCTATCAGGGCCAGCTGCTGCAGGACGACGCTCAGACTCTGGCCTCTCTGAACCTGGTCCATAACTGCGTCCTGCACTGTCACATCTCTCAGTACGCCAGCGGGAGGGCGGCGGGGGGGCCGCGGCCTGCCGACCAGGTGCAGGTGGCTCTGAATGTGGGCAGCCTGATGGTCCCCCTGCTGGTCCTCATGCTGTCGGTGCTGTGGTACTGTCAGATCCAGTACCGGCAGTTCTTCACCGCCCCGGCCACCGCCTCGCTGGTCGGAGTCACCATCTTCCTCAGCCTGGTCGCCTTTGGAGTCTACCGTCGCTAGCTGCCCTCTGATTGGCCGCCGCCTCTGTCTGTGTGGTGATGTCAGCAGCCGGGGCAGAGCTCTCTCTGACCTCTGATCCGGACTCGGACCTGCGGGACAAAACGGACAGAGTTGATGTTTGTTTTTTGTTGCCATGAAGATGATAAGTGTTAACGAGGACTTTCATTTTTATTATTTTTAGATCTCTGTAGGTTTTCTCATCATCGTGCCTCTCTTACGTTCTGGTTTCTGAAGCGGGTCGGACCAGCGCCAGGCTGTAAACCGGACCCGTGTGTCTGTCTGAGCAGGAAAGTCTAAATGAATCACAGCTTCTGAAGAGAAAGAAATTCTATTAAAGCGTTTATGTATCTCGTTGTGGTTCTTTGTGTCTCTGTGAAGAATCAGACTTCTGCTGCAAATAAAACTACCAGCAAGCAGTACTAGTACTGGTAGAATTGATACCTTGGTGGTAGAAATACATTCAGCCGCTCGTGTCGTTCATTTCCTGTTTTGAACAGTGTTTATGGACGGCGCTCTCCACATCCTCGGGGTTGCCTGTCTTATCCAGAGATCATGTTCAGTGATGATCCAGCTGCTCTGACAGACGAGCGTGTTCCTCTATGCTGAAGTCTGGTTTTAATGACGGGGCTGCAGCTTCTCTATGAAATCATCTGCGTAGGAATGACGACCTTTTAATATTATGTTTTTATAGTGTGGTCATTGTGTTCGTTGTTTCTTTTGGAAAGCATCTCTGTGTTCTGTGCTTTACGAGTGCGTTTCTCATGAATTATATTTTGACCTGCTGCCTGAACACCAGTAACTGAACAAATAACAGCCTCCGGTTTTCTAACGTCACTGTGGTCCTGAGCCCAAACGCTGCGAACCCGAGTTCTGACCTGAGCTTCATTCTTATCCAACTTTCTCAGCCCATCTGAAACCATCGCTCTACAAAACCAAAACTAGAGCTGAAACAAAACCTTAAACCAATTTAACCTTTTAAAGCGCCTAAAACAAGTTGAGAAGGAAACATTATAAAGCCAATAAAAGCGTCAGCAGCCAGCAGGGACTGATATTTACCGTTGGAGGATAATGAAACTGACATTATTCAGAGTTTCAGGGACTTGAATTAATGTCGTCCACCCTGACTCAACGCTGCTGCAACATGTTAAAATCATTTTCCAGGACGGCGGGAGCCCTGATACTTCAGGGAGTGGCTCTGTTTTCATGGTGTGTGTTTGTAAAGGGAAATCTTAGGACAGCAGCTTGTGTTTGGCCTTTTCCCGTTTCAATAAGACGACGCCCTCGTGCACAAAGCAGCTCCATAAAGAAATGGTCTCCCAGTTCGGTGTGGAAGAACTCGACCGGCCCACCCAGAACCCTGACCTGACCCCTGTCCAACACCTTTGGCATGAACTAGACAGAGACTGAGAGCCGGGTCCTCTCGTCCAACAGAGTCTGACCTCACTAACGATCGTCTTGTGGAAGAAGCTGCAAAGGGGGACCAGCTCCACATGAAAGCCCCTGGGTTCAGTACGGGATGGTTTGTCCCAGTAAAGTCACATCTGGAGGTCGACGAGAAGTTCACAAACAAAGATGGCTGCCCCCATGTTACTATTGTGTCTAACACTGCGTGCTGCATCCTCAGCCCTTTGAACACATTAACGTGCTTCAGTCTGACTCCGCTCAGTTCTTCTCTACACACCACCTACTGTTGATGCTTCCCTCCATTTCCTTTGGGCAGTGCATTGTGGGAGAATTCATTTAGTCACTTTCCCAGTGTAAACCAACCACAAACAAACCCTGCTCAGAGTGTCCAGTTTATTAGGAACATGTGGAGCAGCTGCTGAACTCACTGTTGCACAGAGAGGCGTTTCTATTATTTTGTCCACCCCCTTTCTTTAAATGGAGGCAGGCTGAATAACAGAGGCATCTCTGTGTTGATCAGGTGAATAAAATCTTAAAGCCAAACTAAACGATGAGAGAAGTGTTGATGAGGTGTTTAAACAGATGCTGCTCTTCTCCTGTTGTTTAGACTGAAGGTACAAAGAGTTCATTCACAAACCTTTAATCATCACGTCTGAACACTGTGAGCTCTAAATCAACCTGTGAACCGATGAACGTCTCCCGTCTGAGCCGCCGCGTCCTCTGCAGCCCGTCAGCACTGCCAGAGAAACAACAACGACGACAGGTTTCAGGAGTTTTAACGTGAAGCTGACTGGAGACACAGGCTGCTCAGTCGCACCTGTCAGACGGTGATGAGGGTCAAAATGTTGTTTTTCATGAGTGATGTCACTACCTGTAGCTGTGCTGCCAGGTGTTCAGGCAGCTCGACTCCGGCGGCCTCCAGCAGGATGATGGTCTCTGTCAGGGGGAACCTGGACTCTTCACCGCCACCACGCTGGGTCAGCTGCTGCAGACTGAAGACACACACAGGTCTCAGGTGAGTCACCTGTTCCTGACTGAGGCCAGCGGGTCTCAGGTGAGTTCACCTGTTCCTGACTGAGGCCAGCTGGTCTCAGGTGAGTCACCTGTTCCTGACTGAGGCCAGCGGGTCTCAGGTGAGTTCACCTGTTCCTGACTGAGGCCAGCGGGTCTCAGGTGAGTCACCTGTTCCTGACTGAGGCCAGCTGGTCTCAGGTGAGTCACCTGTTCCTGACTGAGGCCAGCGGGTCTCAGGTGAGTTCACCTGTTCCTGACTGAGGCCAGCGGGTCTCAGGTGAGTTCACCTGTTCCTGACTGAGGCCAGCGGGTCTCAGGTGAGTTCACCTGTTCCTGACTGAGGCCAGCGGGTCTCAGGTGAGTCACCTGTTCCTGACTGAGGCCAGCGGGTCTCAGGTGAGTTCACCTGTTCCTGACTGAGGCCAGCTGGTCTCAGGTGAGTCACCTGTTCCTGACTGAGGCCAGCGGGTCTCAGGTGAGTTCACCTGTTCCTGACTGAGGCCAGCGGGTCTCAGGTGAGTCACCTGTTCCTGACTGAGGCCAGCGGGTCTCAGGTGAGTTCACCTGTTCCTGACCGAAGCAGCCTGGTATGGAGTAGAACCGAAACGTCTCCAGAACCAGAAACCAGAACTTCAATCGATACTTTTTGTAACCAGATCGCGGCCAAAAATGACTATTTGTCTAGTTTTGCTTTCAGCCAATCACGCTGAAAGAAAGAGAAGAGCAGCCTTTTTCCTCCTTATGTGCCTGCACCATAAACCGTATAAAAAAGGAGTCCAAGCGTGATTTTAACAGCCGCTCACCTTCGGCTGCGGTCTCAGGCGTGTTCGTCACTGTTTATCACCACAAGCTTGGCTCTCCGTTGGTTTCATCTTCTGGTATCAGTTAACACTTCTCTGTATTTGTATTTGCTCTTCACATCACTAGTCACCGATCGATCAGCTGATTTTACTGACGGAGACTGCGGTTGCAGCTGGGGCTGCTTCACGTGTAGTTAGTTTGATCGGCTAGACCTGCAGCCCCTCTTTTCCTCTGTTTGTATCTTTAGTGTAGTTTAGTGACTTGTTTAAACAGAAGGCTTTCTCGTTTTATTCGAGGTTTGCGGCTCCCCACTAAAGGAAAAAGCACTCGGGGTGAATAGTAGACCTATCAAAAAATACCTTAAATTCGTTTCCCACAACTTATTTGGTCACTAAACTATTTGACTCCTCTCTCATTCAAATATAAAATAAGTCCCAAGCTGTAGTCTTTCCCCTTATAGGCTAATGCTACCAGTGAGGATGACCTAATTAGGATGGGGAGCGATTTCCCAATACTTCTAGCAGTTATTTGAAACAAGAAAATCACCTTGCTTGTCCATAACAACAATAAAAATAATAATAAGCTGCCAGTCAGGTGTCATTTTATGCAAGGTATTGAATGAAGTACTCTGTTGGTATCGGTATCACTTTAAGGGTACTGGGTTTGGTACTGGTACTGTAAAATTTTAAATGATACCCAACCCTAGCTAGCGGGTCTCAGGTGAGTTCACCTGTTCCTGACTGAGCCCAGCAGGTACTCTGTGTACACGTGTCTCCAGTCGTAGATGAGTGACAGCAGGGAGTCTCTGAAGGGACGGAGGTCGACCTGCAGCCAGTTGTGCAGAACGATGACATCATCCAGGTGAGCCACCTCTCTGCTCACTCTCTGGAGCGACTCAATCTGAAACGACATCACAGCCACCAGGTGATGACACGGCAAAATCAGCCAGCCCAGGTGTGAGCTAATACAGGTGCTTTTTACCTGGAGTGTCTGCAGTAAAACACCTGACAGGTGTGTCTCACCTCTCTCTGGAAGTCCTTCAGGGTGGGCGGAGTCTTCTCGGCCTCCAGCTCCTCGGGTCCCAGCTGCCTGCTGTAGGTCAGGAACTCCTGCATGACCCGCCTCCTGTTGCTTTGCCACAGGTATGAGTACCTGTTCAGCCCCGCCCTCAGACGCTCCGCCTCCTCCCTCACCTGCAGCAGGCGACGCATCACTTCCTGTTCCAACGCAGAGAGCTTGGGACTCTGCTGCAGAGAGACCTGACAGACAGACAGGTAGACAAACGGGTTCAAAGCCTCCAACAGCAGCCCGGACAGGCTGAGCGTGTAATGTCACAGTGACGTCGGAGTCACCTGATAGTTGCCCTGACGACTCACAGAGATCCTGGGCGGCAGACTGGCCGCCGTGTAAACGTCAGTGATGATGGTCTTCAGGAGGTCAGAGAGGCCGCCGCTCACTGACGGCTCAAACACACTTCCTGTTTCCTGCAGCTCCAGACGGACCGCCAACAACGCAGCCCTGCAGCTCTGCAAGAAGAACGGAGGCTGTGACACAGCTGGAATCGAACCTGTGACGTTGTGGTCATTAGGTTTGCACCTGGACTATTTAGGTATTAAGATGCCAGTCGGACTCAAACGCGTGGGAAAAGCGGCCGCAGGAAACGGCTTCGTCCAGGTGGACAAGAAAAAAACTGTCCAATCAGAGCTGAGAATGTGAATCACATGGTTAACATGAGAGACCAGAGAGCACGAGCTGGTCCAGTTCTGATCCTGATCCGAGTCCTTTCATATCGATTGTCTGCTGATCTGATCTGTTGTGACGGGGGACCGGAACCCGGGGCGCCTGTGGACTCGATACCTGAGGCTCCACCAGGTGAGCTCCCAGCTGGCGGTTTACTTAGGGAGGAGCTGTTGGACTACAGAGTGGAGCGTCCTCCCTCACAGAGGATCTCTGGTCCAGTTTCCTTTAGTCCTGAATACGGCTGCAACTACTACAAAATGACACCACGCCTCTCATTTAGCCGTCAGCGTTTACATTAAACTTGGAGGCTGCGTCCCTCTCTGGTTTCAAGAAGCTCCTGAAAACTTCCTCTGATAACCTCTGACATCACTTCCTGTGCTCTTCTTCTTCTGTCTGCTCACAGTTCTCTTCCCCAGGTATTTACCCCTGATGTGCTAGTGCGTATGTCAGCTGTAGATCTCGTGCTGTATTTGATGCTCTGTGGATGTTTGTATGTTGCGTGTTCAGATGTTAATGTCACGCTTGTTGACCGTTCTGAGGACGCCATCAGGTCCTCACTGTGAGTCAGCTAACGTCAGCCAGCTAAACCACAACAGAGGCTCGATGTGCTGCTCAGGTTGACGCAGGTGTTCCCAGGGGAGCGTACCTGTGGGTTCATGTTGTCAGACAGGAAGTGCAGAGATCTGAGCAGCAGCTGGAACAGTCCGTCCTGGACTTTGTCATCGATGTAGTCTAGATACTTGATCCAGGACTGAGAGGAGTCTTCAGCTCTGTACAGACTCCGGTTCACCTGAGAACACAGCAGAGTCACATCAGCACCTCCTCCTGCTCCTCCTGCTCCTCAGGTGTACTCTGCTGTTACCTGTGTTAACCTGAGCAGCTGCTGTCCCTCCTCTCTGAGGACCCTGTAGCTCTGCTCTGTAGCGCCGTCCTCCAGCAGCGACTCACCTGAGCGCTGCAGCAGGTGAAGCTCCGCCCAGCCCTGCAGATGGACAGATACAGACCTCTCAGGTTAACAGTCAGGTGTCCACAGGGAGTTCAGGCTGTATCCGCCCCCCCTGTTCTTACTGGACCAGATCAGAACAGGTTGTAAAGGAGCTGATGGATCAACACAGTGTCTTGTGAATGTTCTCAGTCATCCAGGTCAGAGTTATCCAAAGAAGGTTCAAGTCCAACGCAACCGAGTTCACACGAGAAGACGTCCACAACAACAGTTTGGCCTTCCTGGACTGTGCTGTACACATTGAAGAGGACAGGAGCCTGCAAACTGGGGTTTACAGGAAACCCACTCCAGAGACGCTCACAAATCTCCGAGCTAGAGTCCAAGTCAAGTCTCAAGTCTCCGAGCTAGAGTCCAGGTCAAGTCCCAAGTCTCTGAGCTAGAGTCCAGGTCAAGTCCCAAGTCTCTGAGCTAGAGTCCAAGTCAAGTCTCAAGTCTCTGAGCTAGAGTCCAGGTCAAGTCCCAAGTCTCTGAGCTAGAGTCCAAGTCAAGTCCCAAGTCTCTGAGCTAGAGTCCAAGTCAAGTCTCAAGTCTCTGAGCTAGAGTCCAGGTCAAGTCTCAAGTCTCTGAGCTAGAGTCCAGGTCAAGTCTCAAGTCTCTGAGCTAGAGTCCAAGTCAAGTCTCAAGTCTCTGAGCTAGAGTCCAGGTCAAGTCTCAAGTCTCTGAGCTAGAGTCCAGGTCAAGTCCCAAGTCTCTGAGCTAGAGTCCAAGTCAAGTCCCAAGTCTCTGAGCTAGAGTCCAGGTCAAGTCCCAAGTCTCTGAGCTAGAGTCCAAGTCAAGTCCCAAGTCTCTGAGCTAGAGTCCAAGTCAAGTCTCAAGTCTCTGAGCTAGAGTTCAGGTCAAGTCCCAAGTCTCTGAGCTAGAGTCCAAGTCAAGTCTCAAGTCTCTGAGCTAGAGTTCAGGTCAAGTCCCAAGTCTCTGAGCTAGAGTCCAAGTCAAGTCTCAAGTCTCTGAGCTAGAGTTCAGGTCAAGTCCCAAGTCTCTGAGCTAGAGTCCAAGTCAAGTCTCAAGTCTCTGAGCTAGAGTCCAAGTCAAGTCTCAAGTCTCTGAGCTAGAGTTCAGGTCAAGTCCCAAGTCTCTGAGCTAGAGTCCAAGTCAAGTCTCAAGTCTCTGAGCTAGAGTCCAAGTCAAGTCTCAAGTCTCTGAGCTAGAGTCCAGGTCAAGTCCCAAGTCTCTGAGCTAGAGTCCAAGTCAAGTCTCAAGTCTCTGAGCTAGAGTCCAAGTCAAGTCTCAAGTCTCTGAGCTAGAGTTCAGGTCAAGTCCCAAGTCTCTGAGCTAGAGTCCAAGTCAAGTCTCAAGTCTCTGAGCTAGAGTCCAAGTCAAGTCTCAAGTCTCTGAGCTAGAGTCCAAGTCAAGTCTCAAGTCTCTGAGCTAGAGTCCAGGTCAAGTCCCAAGTCTCTGAGCTAGAGTCCAAGTCAAGTCTCAAGTCTCTGAGCTAGAGTCCAGGTCAAGTCCCAAGTCTCTGAGCTAGAGTCCAAGTCAAGTCCCAAGTCTCTGAGCTAGAGTCCAAGTCAAGTCTCAAGTCTCTGAGCTAGAGTCCAGGTCAAGTCCCAAGTCTCTGAGCTAGAGTCCAAGTCAAGTCCCAAGTCTCTGAGCTAGAGTCCAAGTCAAGTCTCAAGTCTCTGAGCTAGAGTCCAGGTCAAGTCCCAAGTCTCTGAGCTAGAGTCCAAGTCAAGTCCCAAGTCTCTGAGCTAGAGTCCAAGTCAAGTCTCAAGTCTCTGAGCTAGAGTCCAGGTCAAGTCCCAAGTCTCTGAGCTAGAGTCCAAGTCAAGTCTCAAGTCTCTGAGCTAGAGTCCAAGTCAAGTCTCAAGTCTCTGAGCTAGAGTTCAGGTCAAGTCCCAAGTCTCTGAGCTAGAGTCCAAGTCAAGTCTCAAGTCTCTGAGCTAGAGTTCAGGTCAAGTCCCAAGTCTCTGAGCTAGAGTCCAAGTCAAGTCTCAAGTCTCTGAGCTAGAGTCCAAGTCAAGTCTCAAGTCTTTAAGCTAGAGTCCAAGTCAAGTCTCAAGTCTCTGAGCTAGAGTTCAGGTCAAGTCTCAAGTCTTTAAGCTAGAGTCCAAGTCAAGTCTCAAGTCTTTAAGCTAGAGTCCAAGTCAAGTCTCAAGTCTCTGAGCTAGAGTCCAGATCAAGTCTCAAGTCTTTAAGCTAGAGTCCAAGTCAAGTCTCAAGTCTCTGAGCTAGAGTCCAGGTCAAGTCTCAAGTCTCTGAGCTAGAGTCCAGGTCAAGTCTCGAGTCTCTGAGCTAGATGTTCAAGTCAAGTCTCAAGTCTTTAAGCTAGAGTCCAGGTCAAGTCTCAAGTCTTTAAGCTAGAGTCCAAGTCAAGTCTCAAGTCTCTCGTGGTTATTACGAATGTTGTATCAGCTGCTGCGTTCAGTCCAGGCTGCTTATAAAACTGCAGAGCTATAAGGGATTCTGTAACCGTAACCTGTTTTTCACTCACAGAGAACAACCATGTGATGAGCAATGCAACTAATGACCGCTTATTAACTACGAGTCTCAAACCCAGTGTAACGTTATAGCTAAATAAAACTGTAACGTTACATGATCAACAGTAAACCTGTAACCTGTTTGTGGTAATAATTAACGTGACGGCAGCCAGCGGGACGTAAATGATTACGTTAATCGACCACCACAAGTTTGGCGAGTAAACAAACGCTCATTCATCTTTTCATAACGACAGTCTGAGTTAACCTCCGGTAGCTCGTAGCTAAAGCAAGAAGCAAGCTAACGTTAGATGGCCAACGCTGCGCTAAACTCACTAACATCAGGTTACTAACCTATTTGTGTTCAGCGCTTCTTTGTTTTGGACTGTATGAAGTTTTAAAGCCAAAGTTTATGATGAACGGCTCAGCAGCTGTTTGTTGTTGTCTCTCACGTGTGGCCGTGCAGCTGAGCAGCTGAAACTACGTGTTATGTAGGCAGGTTATAATGTTTTATAAAAATAAACATTGTTCACGAGTCATGCGCCTCGAGTCCGAGTCTCTAACTCAAGTCCCCATCTCTGACCCACACACACGGACCAATAACTACTGTTCGATTCCCACCACCCACTGGAGCACAAGCTAGGAATCATCAGAACCCTGCAACACAGAGCGGACCACATAACAACAAGCCAGAGAGACGGAACAGAACCACCTGAAGGGGGCACTCACAGCCTGTGGAGACCCCAAACGGACCTTTGTGAAAACAGCCAGATCCAGGAAGAAGAGCAAAACTACAGGGGACGAGGAGAAGAAGGTAAAACGCAACAACATTGTGATTCCATACCTGTCTGGAGTATCAGAGAAACAAACACAACATCCCTGTGTTTTTTAAACCTGGTCCCCCCCAAAGACCGCACCCCTGAACACTAGTGTATGCGGTCCAATGCAGTGAGGAATGCACAGACCTGTATATTGGGGAGACTAAACAACCACGACACAAACGCATGGCTCAACACAGAAGGGCCAACTCCTCAGGTCAAGACTCTGCAGTCTACTTACATCTGAAGGACAGAGGACACTCGTTTGAGGACCACCAGGTGCACATTTTAGACAGAGAAGATGGATGGTTTGAAAGAGGTGTCAAGGAAGCATCTACACCAGGGTGGAGAAGCCGTCATTGAACAGGGGAGGGGGTCTACGCCACCACTTATCCCCCACTTACAATGCTGTCCTTTCATCACTTCCCAGGAAACTCAACAAACGTAACCTATTGGCCTCAGGTGAAGATACCAACGATGGTCGTTCAGTCTTGGCCACAGGTAGTCTTAACGACTGTAACGACTGTCGTCACAGCAACAAGGAACACTAACGAACCAGCGGTATCGATGACCCGGGCCAACGACCCCACTGAGGTTAAATAGCTGAGTTTCCCTGCCAGTCAGTCAGAACTGAAGAAGTCCTTTGGATGAGGGATGAAACGTCTTCCAGTATCTTCAACCAAGTCCAGTTGCCCTTGACTTTAACCTTCCTTGGATATCAGGTGTGTTTCCTGCTGTGTTTCACCTGAACGATGTGAGTCATGGCGTCCATGTTGGCTCGGGCCTCGCTCACTGTGCAGTGGAAGAGCAGCACTCTCTGTCTCTGCTGGTCCACCAGGTGCTGCACACCTGAACACACACACAGGTACAGTAACTTCTTGAAGCTGTGTGATTACGCAACACCCGGTTTGTCATGTGATGTGTCATGTGACGTGTCACCTTCGCAGCTCCAGGTGTTCCTCTGTAGTTCTGACAGGGTGCGGTTCAGGTCCTGCAGCTGGTCCTGGATCAGAGGAAGCTCCACTTGCAGGACGTCCCTCAGTACCTGGAGGAGGACCGTGGCCTGTCACATGACCTTCACCTGGATCTACCTGTATTCAGGACTTGTGTGTGTGTGTGTGTACCTGGTTGTAGCAGGACACCATATGACTCAGGCTCAGGTAGGTCTGTGTGATGTCATCTCTGCAGGTGAAGAGTCCAGCAGCGAAGGGGCGGAGCTTCACGTCTGTCTCCCTGCTCACACACCTGAGCTCCCTCAGCGCCGCCTCCAGCTGGACACACACAGACAGACAGGTGAGGTCAGGTGCAGGTGAGTCCAGCTCCCCCGTTAGTTACTCCTCTCACTGACCTTGTGGCTGAAGGTAACTCCCAGCATGCCTTGCTGGTCGTGTTGTATTAGAGGTTGCTCCAGGATGAACGCACAGTCTGAGTCCAGCTGACGGCTCCAGTCTGACCTCACTCGCTCTCTGAAATCCTGCAGGAGATCCACAATCTGCTGGAACCTCTGCAGAACCAGCTGGGACTCCCCCGAGTCCAGGTACCTGAACGCAACGCAGAGACCGTCCTTACTGTCGGAGTAACCCTAACCCCCCTGCCGTGTGCTGTGTGTGTTCTGGGACCTTACAGGGATTCTACGGTCCTGTAGTGGCTCAGGGTGTCCTCAGCTCTCAGTCTGAGCTGCTGAGTCCAGCAGAGTCCAGATGCAGCAGTCGGGCTGAACTTGCTGAATGTTGCTGATTTCTCTCTCTGACTGTAGAACAGCAGCTCGGTCTGATCCAGCTCCACCAAGACCATCTCCACCAGCCGGATCAGGTGAGGACGCAGCTGATCTTGGATCAGAGGACGGTCCAGGACGAACCCGAACATCTCCACCAGCTGAAACACAGACCAGATCAGATCAGACCAGAGCCCCTCTCCCTGCAGCGGCTGTGGTTATAGACCGGTACCTTGGCGGCAGAGGAGGGGGAGCTGCAGTCCCCGAAGGCTCTGCTGAGGACCGACACCAGCCGCCTCTCCAGGTCTGCTATCTGAACATGAAACTGATCCAGGTGCAGCTCAAAGCTCTGAGAGGAAGAGGACGAGGAGTCACACACAGCTCAGAGTCCAACAGGAAGTACCTGACACACATCAGCTGACCTGGTCATCGGGGTCCACGGGGTCACAGTTACAGTCAGACAGAGCTGTCACGTGACACACGAAGTCCTGATACACGCCCTGAACCACATCAGTCCACATCCTGCCGCTGACACCGGTCAGGACCGTCTGATCCAGCTGGTCCAGCTGCAGACTGACACAGAGCACCTCCTGTAGGGGGACGGGGGGCGCTGTTAGACCTGCTGGTTTTAACTAATGATTGCTGTCATGATCGACCAGGCGTTTCACCGTGTGACGTGTAAATGCGTGTGCATGTGTGTGCGTGTGTGTACCTGGATGTTCTGCAGACGTTTCAGGAAGGCGTCCAGGTGGAAGACGACCAGGTGTGAAGGAAAGTCCCAGCTCTGTGCGACTCCATCCTGCATTTACAGTTACTCATCTGGCTTTTATCCAAACACTCACATTTGAGGAACAACATACGAGCATCGACAAGAGACAAGAGATACTAGTGACGGCTGTTAGCGCGTACGCCATCGGTGGGTAAATACCTACAAAAGGAAGGAAGAGTTAACAAAAGAGAACTGTAAGGAGACAGAAGAAGAGGAGCACAGGAAGTGATGTCAGAGGAAGTGTCCTCTGTAGAGTTTTCAGGAGCTTCTTGAAGTCAGAGAGGGATGCCGTTGCTGTGATGGCGTGCGGCAGCTCGTTCCACCATCGTGGCGTCACAGGTGAGAACAGGGACTGAGGTCGCTTTGTGTGAAGGGAGGCAGAGCCAGGCGGCGTTCGTTGGAGGAGCGCAGTGGCCCAGAAGCAACGTAGGCTTGGATTATGTGGTTTAGGTAGATGCTGCAGACCCAGTAGGAGCTCTGGATGCAGCATCAGGTGTTTATAATCATCAACTCTTAAAACTGGCTGCTTGTAAAAAGCCTTTGATCCAGTTGAAGGTACCTGAGATCAGGACGGACCACCTCGCTTTCACACCTGCTGACGTAAACACAGACACCACTGACCTGCTGCTGGTTCTCCAGCTGGGTCCTGCACTGACTGTAGGCCTCCTTCAGGGCCTGCAGGGTCCAGATCACCAGTCTGACATCATCCAGGACCGGACCAGGGTCTGACACCAGACCACGCATCACTTCCTCTCCACGCAGGAACTTCCTGCTCTGCAGCAGCAGAAGAAGAAGCAGGTAAAGGATGGTGTGTGACACACACGCACATACGCACACACACACACACTCTCTGTACCGTTTGTATAAAGAGGTTGCAGACCTCCTGCAGCAGGACCACTATCCTGCAGGGTTTACAGTAGAACTCAGACCTGATCCACAGCAGACGCACCTCCTCCATCACAGCCGCCATGTTGTCTCCCAGCTGCCAATCACAGACAGAGTTCAGTCACAGTCTGATGATGTCACGGCCGTACAGGACCCGGTTTCACAGGCCGTGAATCTGAGCGTCAGCTTACTGCACATACTCAACCAAAATGCATTGTGGGACGCACTGTAGTGTTTTGCTGTGTCGTCACTGAGTAGAGTTAGAATTTTATGAAAACTGAAGGCGAATGGAAAACGTGCTCCAGCGTTCGAGCTCCTACGGGGGAGCTAGAGAGCCAGCCAATCAGCTCACAGAGCCCTCGGGCCCCACTCACACATTTCTCTGAGGATTATTTCTGTTTAGTTAGGCGCTGCTTCACGTCGACCTCAGAAGAGACGAACAAGCACAACACGTTACACGAGTACAGCATGCGCAGTACCTGCTGACTGAGGATGTAGTATACGTGAGTATCAATACTGCTGGTTGTTGTGGCCAGTCCCACAGTACCTGCTGGTACTCCATCTGCTCCACCTCCTCCAGCTTCTCCTGCAGGGGAGTCAGATTCAGAGTCACATCTTCAGCCTCCTTCAGACCTGAGAGGAGGAGGAGGAGGGGGCAGAGGTCAGAGGTCAGGTGAGTCTCTCAGGTAACCTCTGTTATTTGTGAGTGTTCCTACCTTCCTGCACGTCTCTGTAAATGTCTCTCAGAGTGGACCAGTAGACGCTCTCCGCCTGCTCAACGACGGACGCCACCTGCTGAGCTCTGCTGCTCATCAACTGCACAAACACCACAACATAAAGAAACGAGGAAAGATTTCATTTTCTGAAATAAACAAATGTAAAGACAGCAAGAGCATTTCAAATGGAACGAGCTTCAATGTCCACGTGGGAGTAGAGAAGGTGCTGCAAAAGGAACTGTCAGTAAAAAGGACATGTGGAGACATGTGGGCCGTCACCCTGACATCATCACCTGCCGTCACCCTGACATCATCACCTGCCGTCACCCTGACATTGTCACTTGCCACCTGCTGTCACCCTGACATTGTCACCCTGACATCGTCAACTTCCGTCACCCTGACATCGTCACCCTGACATCGTCACCCTGACATCGTCACCTGCCGTCACCCTGACATCGTCACCCTGACATTGTCACCCTGACATCGTCACCCTGACATCGTCACCCTGACATCGTCACCCTGACATCGTCAACTGCCGTCACCCTGACATTGTCACTTGCCACCTGCTGTCACCCTGACATTGTCACCCTGACATCGTCAACTTCCGTCACCCTGACATCGTCACCCTGACATCGTCACCTGCCGTCACCCTGACATTGTCACCCTGACATTGTCACCCTGACATCGTCACCCTGACATCGTCACCTGCCGTCACCCTGACATCGTCAACTGCCGTCACCCTGACATCGTCACCCTGACATCGTCAACTTCCGTCACCCTGACATCGTCACCCTGACATCGTCACCTGCCGTCACCCTGACATTGTCACCCTGACATCGTCACCCTGACATCATCACCTGCCGTCACCCTGACATTGTCACCCTGACATCGTCACCTGCCGTCACCCTGACATTGTCACCCTGACATCATCACCTGCCGTCACCCTGACATTGTCACCCTGACATCGTCACCTGCCGTCACCCTGACATCGTCAACTGCCGTCACCCTGACATCGTCACCCTGACATCGTCAACTTCCGTCACCCTGACATCGTCACCTGCCGTCACCCTGACATTGTCACCCTGACATCGTCAACTGCCGTCACCCTGACATTGTCACTTGCCACCTGCCATCACCCTGACATCGTCACCCTGACATCGTCACCCTGACATCGTCAACTGCCGTCACCCTGACATTGTCACTTGCCACCTGCTGTCACCCTGACATCGTCACCCTGACATCATCACCTGCCGTCACCCTGACATTGTCACCTGCCGTCACCCTGACATTGTCACCCTGACATTGTCACTTGCCACCTGCCATCACCCTGACATCGTCACCCTGACATCGTCACCTGCCGTCACCCTGACATTGTCACCCTGACATTGTCACTTGCCACCTGCCATCACCCTGACATCGTCACCCTGACATTGTCACCCTGACATCGTCACCTGCCGTCACCCTGACATCGTCAACTGCCGTCACCCTGACATCGTCACCCTGACATCGTCACCTGCCGTCACCCTGACATTGTCACCCTGACATCGTCAACTGCCGTCACCCTGACATTGTCACTTGCCACCTGCCATCACCCTGACATCGTCACCCTGACATCGTCAACTGCCGTCACCCTGACATTGTCACTTGCCACCTGCTGTCACCCTGACATCGTCACCCTGACATCATCACCTGCCGTCACCCTGACATCGTCACCTGCCGTCACCCTGACATCGTCACCCTGACATCGTCACCTGCCGTCACCCTGACATCGTCACCCTGACATCGTCACCTGCCGTCACCCTGACATCGTCACCTGCCGTCACCCTGACATCGTCACCCTGACATCGTCACCTGCCGTCACCCTGACATCGTCACCCTGACATCGTCACCTGCCGTCACCCTGACATCGTCACCCTGACATCGTCACCTGCCGTCACCCTGACATCGTCACCCTGACATCGTCACCCTGACATCGTCACCTGCCGTCACCCTGACATCGTCACCCTGACATCGTCACCCTGACATCGTCACCTGCCGTCACCCTGACATCGTCACCCTGACATCGTCACCTGCCGCTGGATGAAGTGCAGGTTCTTCAGTCGGTTCTTCCAGAAGTGGAACTCCTCTGAGGGAAGCGGCTTCAGTCCGTCCAGAACCGGCTGAGACGAGTCCTGCTGCAGGAACTCCGACACAAGCCCCGCCCATTCTATGATCGTCGAATCACAGGCGTGGAGGAGCTTCACGTCTGACAACTTCCTGTTGGAGGAGAAGAAGGAGGAGGAGGCTGCGTTTATTAGTGTAATATTAAATTACAAGCATAATGTTCTGTTAGTACAATGTTGATAAATTCATTATAATTCCATATATATGTATAACATTAATTCCAGTTCCAGCAGTTTCATTTCTATAAGTCCTTGTGTAGTAAAATGCTCTACAGGAGGTTGAGTTAAGTCTCTAACGTGTTAATGCTAAGTGATACCTCGCCAATAAGCAGAACCATTACAGTTTTTGGTGTTAACATCCATCGGTCATGGCGACGTTTACAGCTGGACCACGTGATGATTGGACACCACCAGACATGTTCTACAGTTCTCCTGTCTGTGCTTGAGGTGGCGGCTAATCCGCCCCAGACTCCCTTAAAGAAATCAAGAGTTTTGTGAGAGTCAAAGGAAACTCTATAAACTCTGTCTCCACCCGTCTGTGGTCAAACAGGCAGCGAGACCGTCATATGGATATGGAAGGACTGACGGGCAGGTGGCTTGATTCAAAATGTTAACACCGACCAAAGAAGACTTCATTGTATTTAATAAATATTTTAATCATTTTAACGCTTTCAAAATCAATTAGTGTAAAAATCATTTGGATAGGGAGGAGTGGCTGAATAGGTGTCTTGACGTTGGTAGTAACAATGTCCGAGTGAAAAGCCACATGCCGGTGCTGTATTACACTTAACGGTCTACGCCGCTGGTTCCGGAAAGCCGGATCGCTTAGTGAAAGCACTCACGGTTACAGGATTATGCTGGAATATTTTGTTCAGTATAAAAGAGC